CAGCTTCCCCCACCCCCCAGTGTCTTGTGTCCATTGGTTATTCTCATTTGCATGCATACAAGTCCTTCGGTTGATCTCCTACCCCCGCCCCCCAACCCTCCCCAGGGTTCCCACTGTAGATTGACAGTCCGCTCAATGCTGCTCTGCCTCTGTATCCGTTTTTGTTCACCAGTCTATAATGGTCCTTATTATCCATAAATGAGTGAGTTCATGTGGTATTTTTCTCAGCTTCCCAGGGGCCGTCTCAGCAAAGGGAAAGCTCTGCTTGCAGGTGAGGGCACCTTCTACGGGGAAAACCCAGAATATCCAGGACACAAACAAGCTCACTCAGCAGCCAGGTGAGCGGTTAGGAGCCAGCAGTAACTCACCGGGGCCGTTTCAGCCTCCCCGGGGCCGTTTCAACCTCACCGGGGCCGTTTCAGCCTCACCGGGGCCGTTTCAGCCTCACCGGGGCCGTCTTGAGGTGGACAGTCTTGGTACGCCCCTTTGTGAGCTGTGTGCACAGTCTTGTTGTAGTTAAGCCTTGATTGTTGTAGGTGTCACTGGGAGGAATTGACCTCCAGGCCAATTGGCTGTGAGAATCAGCTGTGTCTGCAGTGGGAGAACTTCTGTGCTGGAGACACCCTTCTGGGGCAAGGCTTGCTTCAGTGGGGCTTTGGTGCTCACTGAGTCTGCCCCCTGAGTGTGTCCTTATGGATCCGAGGAGTTGTGATCTGGATGGTCCCACTCTGACCACTGGGTACACTGGCTCTTGGATCTCTAAGGAGGTGCTAATTTAGCCTCTGCCTGAGGCTACCCAGCAGGAGCTATGGAGAGATCTGCAGATTCCTCTTCTTTGTTTGGGGTTTGGAGGTGCCCAGATGAGGCCCAGCTGTGAAGCAATGCAAGCTGCTGTGGGGCCTTGGGCCTTCTTTTGGATGTCCTGGCTCTCTCTGACCCAGCTGCAGTTTGTTAGGTAATTTTAGATTGCAAAGGGCCAGGTCATTCATATGCAAAAGCCTCTGTGCACAGCTTGGGTGGGGCGGGGTCTCAGGGAATCAACAGGGTGGAGCAAACAGCTATGGCTGATCCTCAGTCCTACTCTAAGAGGCCCCGCGTCTCAGTGTCCAGGTAATCACTGCAAGCACCTGTGAGAGAAAGCCGCCCTCGAGTTCCGCCCACTGCCAGACAGTCCAGTTTCTTCCCGTATGAGTCTGGGTCCCCAGAGACTCGCCCGGAACAGGAGTCAGGGCCATCGGGAGCGTGTGTCTCTCTCCCGACTGAAAAAGACAACCACGTCCTCAGTTGCCAGCCCTTTCCACGTGCGCCTCCATACCTCTGCACTTTACTTCCGCACCTCCTCTGAGTCTCAGTGCGCTTTTCTCTTTCCTTCTAGTTGTAGAATTTCCACTCAGCCAGGCCTCCTGTGGTTCTGGATGATGTCCGTTTTGTCTTTAGGTGGATTTTTGAAGTTGTTGTGCGAGGCGGCAATTTCCGGTGTATACCTATGCCGCCATCTTGGTTTCTCTCCGCATATCAGATATTTAAATGACGATTCATAACAGTAGCAAAATTATAGTTATGAAGTAGCAACGAAAATAATTTTATGGCCCTAACCGGTTTGGCTCAGTGGATAGAGCATCGGCCTGCGGACTGAAAGGTCCCAGGTTCGATTCCGATCAAGGGCATGTACCTTGGTTGCGGGCACATCCCCAGTAGGAGGTGTGCAGGAGGCAGCTCATCGATGTTTCTCTCTCATCAATGTTTCTAACTCTCTATTCCTCTCCCTTCCTCTCTGTAAAAAATGAATAAAATATATTAAAAAAAATAAAAAATATATATTTAAAAAAATAAAAATCTTCATTCTCCCCTTTAAAAAAAATAAATAAAATGTTTAAAAAAAAAGAAAGAAAACAATTTTATGGTTGGGGGTTAGGATTAGGAAGGCAATCCTCCTTTGAGGATATGCTTTCCATGGAGTCTCCAAAGGGGGCATAAGGGATGGAGGGAGGCAGGAGAGAGTGAGACTCACCGACTGGTTGTCTCACACAGGGGCTCTGAAGGGTGGGGAGTGAACCTGGAACCCAGGTCTGAGCCCTGGACCAGAAATGGAACTTCCCACCCTTCTGTGCACAGTCTGATGCACTAACCACTGAGCTAAGCCGGCCAGGCTTGGAAAGTTTTTATTTCAGACCATCCAGTGTGGTCACCTGGTCTCCGAGGCGGTAAGGCGGCCTCGCAGGCCTCCCAAGCTCCTCAGCGGCAGCAGGTGGCCCCTTTGTGTCCACAAGATCCCTCAGGACCTTCAGGCCAGGGGGTCGGGGGGTGAAGAAGGGTCAGGCCGTGGTGACCAGCCTGGGGCCTGGCCTCGTCACCTGCCTCCGCCTCCAGCCGCGGGCCGCCTCCCGCCGGGCTCTCCGGGGTCCCAGGGAGGATCGGGGTCTCGGACGCCTCGTCCAGGCGGTCTTCAGGCAGGTGGGGGGCCCCCGTCGTGGGGACCGGAGCGTCTGCATCTGGGGTCTCAGGCGATGCCACCAAGGACACTGAGCTCTCCTGAAAAGGCAAGACGTGTCTGGAGTCAGGGGTTCAGCCCGGGGGCCCCCGCAAGAGGACAGGGGCCCGTAGACCCCACGCTCAGTGGGGCCGGGCCGGCTCTGATCTCGGCTCTGCCCTCACGGCTGGCTCCGCTGGCCTCGGTGCCTCAGTTTCCCTCCAGAGTCTAAGGCGCATCCAGGTCAGCCCTCGGCTCGTGTTCGGCTGACGCTCGGGCAGCGAGGGGCTCGCTGCAGCTGGAGTGGGTCCCCCCTCCCAGCCCGGGGCTGGCCTGGCCCGGAGCACTCACCGGGCTGTCTCTTCTGTAATGGCGTCCTGTGGAGACAGGTCCTGGGAGACAGACGGCAGGTGGTTACCGGAAGGTGCCAGGAGGTTCCTCTGAGCTGAGGCGGTTCCAGAAGCAATCACAGCCCCCCACCCCTCACCCCAGATCAGGGAGCTCCAGGAAGGGGCCACTGTGCCTCATCCCTGTTTCCTGTTTGCACAGCTTCCAGAACCTGCCAGGAGCCCAGCGTCCCGAGCTCAGGAGCCCGGGCTCTGCCCCACAGACCTGCCCACACCCTGGCCTCGGCCAGGGCTGCCACTGGGAGATGGAGCTGGCACCCGTCAATGACGCCTGAGGGACCCCCTCTCTAGCCAGGCCCGTCCCTCAGCCCCAGGCACCGGCCAGCTAAGGCCCAGCCCTGTCCTCCCTCAGGCCCCGGACCAGCCCCGGTTGTCACGGCCTCCCGTCCCCTGGCTCCAGCTCGGTGCTCACCTGCATGGGGACAGCAGCAGGCCGCCCGGCGGCCTCCATCTCCGGGTTTCCTGACGCAGAGAATGACGAGGGCCCCGACCACCGCGGCAAAGAGACAGCCCGCCATCCACCAGAACCGGTGTCGCCTCCCTGGCCCTGCGGACAGACAGCGCCTCAGCAGCCACACCCGCCGGTCCCTGCAGCCACGGACCAAGGCCCCCAGACCAGCGCTGAGCCTGGGAAGATGCTTGAGGGACATGCAAACACGAGGCTGAGGAGGTCGGCACCCCGTGTCCACGGGGCCACGGCACCGCCACTCCCTCAGTGTCATGGGCTGAGAAGTATAGAGAAGTTACGTGGAGCAAACACACGTGTGCACACATGCATGCACACACACGTACCACACATGTGTGCACGTATGCACGCACACACATCACATATGCATGCACAATACATCACATATGCATGCACACACATCACATATGCACGCACACACATCACATATGCATGCACACACATGCACACGCGAACATTATTCACCCTTAACCTGAAGGGCTTCCTGCCTTTGTAAGAACGTGAATGGCCTGGAGGCACTGGGCTCAGGGATGTCAGACGGGGAGACAGACCCTGCGGGATCTCACTCCCTGTGATGTGGACCCTGAAGACAAAACAAACTCAGAGAAAAGGGGGACAATCGAATGGCATCTCCTCTCACTGGCCCAGCACAGGGACCCCCTGGGGAGAGGCCTGGGGGCGGCCCATGCAGCCTGTCCAGCCTTCCTGGGGGGTTGGCACCCCCAGGACAGATAGCGCTGACCCCACCCCCACGCGGGCCCAGGTGCCGGGTCTCAGGTGGTTCACGGGCCACGTGCGTGTGTGAGGACGTGGTGCTCCGACGTCCACCCTGAAGGGATGTCCTGTGTCAGGCCGGGTCCCCGCTGACCGGCGGGACCCAAACCTGCCGCCATGACATTTCCCTCCGCTTTCTCCTCTTTTTTTCACAAAGTGGACATTTTTATTAATTTCTGAGAGCGAGAGGGAGAGACAGACAGAGTCATCAATGACCGGAGAGAGTCACTGATCGGCTGCCTCCTGCACGGCCCCCACGGGGGACGGAGCCCACAGCTCAGGCCTGTGTCCTGACTGGAATGGAACCGTGACCTCCGGGGTCATAGGTCGAGGCTCCGCCCCGAACCACGCCGGCCGGGCGGTCCCGTTTCCTCTAGGAGTTCTAGAGCTTCGGGTCTGAGTTCGGTCTGTGGTTCGTTGCGAGTTAATTTTCCTCCGGTCTCCCCAACAGCATCGTTTGAAACACTGTCCTTTCCACACAACGGTCTCGCCTCGAGGGCTGATGTGTTTGGAATTTCGGCCTAAGTTCACCAGCAGATGAACGACTGACAGGACGTGGCCTAGTCCACATCCGTGAGTGCGACTCAGCCGCCAGGCGCTCTCACAGGTCCCACAATAGGGAGGGTCTGGAGGACACGCTCCTGAAGGGAAGGAGCCAGACACGCAGGTCACAGGCCCACGCCCCCGTGTCTGTGACGTGTCCGGAATGGGGAGATCTGTCACCGCAAGCAAATCAGGGCCTGCTGGGGGAGGGGGGTGGGGGACGGGGGACAGGAGAGCTGCTGTTTAATGGGCGGATGTGAATGTTTCGGGGAGACACAGAGGTGGGTGCTAAGAGCCCCTGAACTGCTCACCGTAGCCCAGCCGGTGTGGCTCAGTGGTTGAGCGTGGCCCTATGAACCAGGAGGTCATGGTTCGATTCCTGGTTTTGGGTGTGATCCCCATGTGGGGCGAGCAGAAGGCAGCTGATCCATGATTCTCTCTCCTCATTGATGTTTTTCTATCTCTCTCTACCACTCCCTTCCTCTCTGAAATCAATAAAAGTATATTTAAAAAATAATAAATAAATTTTCTGACATGGTTCTCGTCTCCAGAACATACACGTTAGACACCACAGGAACCCCTCTTACCTGGGCCGGGCAGGCCGCACAGGGTGTCGGCCGTGGCGTTGCACGCCTGCAGGACGACCTTCCCCTCGGGGCACCTGGGGAGGAGACGCCACACTGTTCCTCCCTCCACGTCTCCCAGGACCCGGGCCCAGGGGCGCTGTCAGCGGCAGAAGGTGGGCTCCGGGGCGGCTCCCGCGGAGAGCTCCCTCACCTGCCGCGGGAGCACCGTGTGCCCAAGCCAAGGCCCACGAGGGCCCAGGGCACGCCCAGCCCAGCGCCCACCCCAGAACCAGCCTCTCAGAGGTCATGGCCCTCATCCCACGGGGGGAGCCACGGAGGTCCCTCCAGGGAACCTGCTCGGCCTCGTGTGCAGGCCTGGGAGCGGGGAGCGGGGGTCTGTCCTGCGTGTGAGAGCCTCGGCCCTCAGGTGTCCTTCCTGTGGTCGCAAAGTTAGGGGCTGGTCATTGTTTGTCACGTGTTCCGAGGTCACAGGGAGGCGTGTTTAGACCCAGGACCGACGCTCGCTTGCGCAGGCCGCACGTGCTCACAGCTCTCTGCCCACCTGAGGGGGGACCCGGAGGGACCTCTAGGCCACCGGCCCCTCGCCTTCCACCATCGCCGGTTCCCCAGCTCCTGTCTGAGTGCGGGCGGCTGGTTCTGAGACCCCACACTCCAGGGTCACAGCGTGAAACACCTGCAGCCCAGCCGGCGGGCTCAGTGGCTGAGCATCAACCCCCGAACCAGGAGGTCCCGGTGCGATTCCCGGTCAGGGCACAGGCCCGGGTACGGGCTCCATCCCCGGTGGGGGGCGTGCAGGAGGCGGCCGGTCCATGATTCTCTCTCATCATTGCCGTTCCTCTCTCTCCCTCTCCCTTCCTCTCTGACATCAATAAAAGTCCATTTCTTTTAAAAAGGGAGCTATTTTGCCAGGAGTTTCACCGCTGTCATGTCTCCCCGAAGGTCCCCCATCGAGGCCCACCCGGGACCTCAGGATGAACCTTCTTAGGAAATCTGTGCGTGTGACGGCGCTAAAGGGAGGCCATCGCGGAGGAGCCGGGCCTCCCGTGACCAGCGTCCTCCTGAGGGGAGCCTGTTCGCAGGGAGCAGCACAGAGACACAGACAGGAGGCGGCGCGATGGCGGACAGAGCAGAGGCCACAGCAGCTGGTCTAGGAGGAGCGCCAGGGGCGCCGCCACCCAGAGCCCAGGAGGCAGGAGGGTCCTCCCAGAGCCCGCGGGGCTAGTCCTGCCCACACCTGGGTTTCGGGCTCCCGGGCTGCGGGCCTGGAGAGAATTATTCCCGAGGTTTGTGAAGCCGCCAGGACCGGCGCCTGTGACAGAACCAGGGCCCTGCTGTGGGGACGGCCTTGCAGCTGGGACAGGGCGCCGGGCTCACGGCTCTTCCTCTGCCCGGAGCCGCCTCCTCTGGAACCGTCTATGGCTCCCACCTCCCTCCCTCCTCGGGCCTCTGCATCTCCCAAGCCCCGGCCTCCACCCCTCGGGACCCGGGCAGGATCTGTGCTTCGGCTTCTGTGCCGACTCCACGGGGGTTTTGGTGGGACGAGCAGGTCGTGGCTCTGGGTGGACGGAGCCCTGGCCCCAGGGCGGCCCCAGGTGGGAACAGCCAGGCCACTGGTTGGATTTCATCTGCAGGCACCTCCACGTGGCAGGTGCTACCAGGTCACAGAGGGGAGAACCGAGGGGCAGCGGGAGAACCCGAGGCAGACACGCCACGGGGGGGGGGGGGTTAGGGGCTGGGGGGGACCCAGGCCCGCGCCCCGAGGCCGTACCTGGTGCAGCGGTAGCAGCTCTCTGGGCAGGGCTCAGAGTCGCAGTAGAACTCCCCGGTCTTGCACTGGCACTTCCGGTTCCGTTTCGGGGTGCAGTCACTCACCATCTCCTGGTCTGCGGGGGGAGTGGAGGCTGGGTCAGGCACCAGGGCTGGGACTCCATCCCAACCATACCGGCCCCTCCGGCTGCCGAGTCACAGGCACCGAATCCACAATCTCCTTCCCTCCTCACACTGACAGACGATGAGGTGAGGACTAGACTCTATTTCCAGCATCGGGGTGTCTGTGGACGGGCCAGAGGGGGGCCCTGAAACCTGGGGTGTTTGTGGAGGGGCAGCAGGTGCCCTTGCGATGTGGGCTGGGAGGACAAAGCCAGCGCTGTCCTCAGAGATACCCCCAAATTATCCCTTTCATCGTGTTTGCCCTCTAAAGAGCAGGCCAACACCCCCAGTGTGGGGGGTGCAGGAGGCAGCTGTGAGTGACACAGCAGACAGAGAATGGGGCCGCAGAGAGCCTCTGGCCCCACCTGCTGGCGGTCATCTCGGCGGTCACCCCACAGCCCGCCCGATGGCCGCCAAGGCCGGGCCCTGAAGCCTCGCGGGGTGCACGGCTCCATCGAGGGGGCGGGCCCTCCAACCCCTTATGTCCAGCGTAGGCATTGCTGGTGAGATGGGATTAAGGTGGGGCCACAGCTCAGCCCGAGATCAAGCCAGTCACACACTAGCCTGCGGCCCTCGACCCCACTCCCGAGTCAGCGTCCGTGACTCCACCCCCGGCCACGGGTGCAGCGTGGCCCCGACCCCAGATGTTGCTTTGCCCGCCTTCTCTGCCAGTGGACATGGGAGGCTCCCAGTGAGGCCACCGCACACCGGCCGGGCTGTGACACACGGGGAGAGCGGGCCCCAGTCCAGACGGAGGCGGGTGGGCGGTGGGAAGTGGGGTAGGCCCGTGGGAACGTCACCCACTACACCCAGTGTTTCCTTTGAGGCTGGCACTGACCCCCCGTCTCCCGTCAGGCCAGGATCCCCACTGCCCTGCCCCCACGTGCGGCACCGGCTCTGGCGGACTTAGGACAGTCCACCTCTTCACTCCTCAGAGACCCTTTCTTTTTCTTTAATTATACTTTTATTGATTTTACTTATTTATTCATTTATTTATCTATTTATTTATTTGGTTAATCTTCACTCCAGAATATTTTTCTTTTTTGAATTATCTTTAAGTTTAGATCTTTGGAAAATGCTTTTTTTTTTTAAATTAAGAAAAATATATATATTCTTGCACTGGCTGGTGTGGTTCGGTGGATAGAGCATCAGCTTGCGGACTAAAGGGTCTCAGGTTCGATTCAGGTAAAGGGCACAGGCCCGGGTTGCGGGCTGGATCTCCAGTGGGGGGTGTGCAGGGAGGCCCTCCCAGACCCAGGGTCTCCCACAGCCCGCAGCTGGGACAGGTCTGGAAGGAGCCACAGGCAGCCCCGCCCAGAGCCCGCCCAGGGCCCGCAAGGACCCTGCTGCCCGGGAGTGACGCAGAGGGCAGGCTGCGTCCACACGGGTGCCAGGCCAGCTGGGTGTTCTGGGAGAAATACAATCCGCCCGGCCGGCGTGGCTCCGTGGCTGAGCGCCCATCTATGAACCTGGAGGCCACGGTTCGATTCCCGGTCAGGGCACAGGCCCGGGGTGCGGGCTCCATCCCCAGTGTGGGGCGTGCAGGAGGCGGCCGGTCCATGATTCTCTCTAATCATTGATGTTTCTATCTCTCTATCCCTCTCCCTTCCTCCCTAAAAAATCATTAAAAATATTTTTAAATAAAAAATAAATATATTTTTTTAAAATTTAAAAAAGGGGCTTTGGGGTCAAGGTTAAGACTGGAGGGGCCGGGACTCACCCTCGCGGCAGGTGGTGCACAGCAGGCAGGACCGCAGGCCGTTGGCGTGTCCCGTGTAGGTCCCTGTGTCACACGCCTCGCACTTGCTCCGGGTGTGGGGGCTGCTGCACGGCTCTTCGACATAGTGGCCTGTGCAAGAGGTCGGGGTGCGGTCAGCCCCACCAGGCACGCCCGGCGCCCCGCTGTGCGGCCTCCACGCCAGGCCCTGGGCTGGCCTCTCCGGGGAGAAAATGCCAATCCCTGTCCCTGGGCGTTAGCATTGGAGTAATCTCTGCCTGTTACCAGGTCGTGGAAATGACGTAACAATCGCTCCCCGACAGCTGTGTGGTGGGGCACCCGGGACCCCGACCCCCACCCCCACCCAGGACACACCTCTGAGGCCCCCAGGACGCGCCTCTGGTCCAGGGTCAGTCAAGGCAGCAGGACCCCAGCCCAGTGCTCCGCCTCCCGGCCCAGGGCTCGCCACCAGCTGCCCGGGTGCAGCCCAGTGTCCAGGTAGCCATGGGGGTCCCAGGGCCCAGCCCGGAAGGCCCCGAGGTGGACACGTGCTCCGCTGGCCAGCACGGTGCCTGGCCGCTTCCTCCCTGCCGCCCGACAGAGCCATGGCTCGACGTGCATTTAGTGCGGGCCCAGCGGACAGAACCCGCCCCCACTCACCTGCGGGGCAGAGCTGGCAGCAGCGCTTGGCAGACCAGTACTCGCCGGGCTCACACCTGTTGCCCGGGCTCAGGTTCGCTGTGCTCGGCTCGGACGACGGGTTGCTCGAGGGGTTCAGGGTCAGCTGCAAAGATGGGAACCTTGTTTCACCGCGTTCTCGCCCCCCATCCCTCCCACTGTCACCCCGGCAGGGTCCACAGCACGCCCCGTCCACGTGGAGCACCGCCTGGGCCGCCGCCCTGGAACGGGAGGGTCAGGGTGCGCGGCTCCGCATGTAGCAGCCTCAGGAACAAGGCAGCCAGGGGCTCCCCGAGCCGGGGGCCCAGGAACCGGGGTCCCGTGCGCATTGGCTCCACAGGCGGGGCCAGCGGCCTTCTCGTCCCATCTCTGGGGGGAGCTGTCACCACGCACAGGTTTCACACGGGAGAAGAATTCAGTCACAACATCAACATCAGCACAGACAGAACCTGGGGTGGCCAAGCCTAAACACTGGACAGTGGCCACCCATCCAGCCAGCAGCTCTAAGGAGCAGGCAGGGTGCCCGGAGGAGGGGGGTGGGCCTGACCCGGCAGAAGCAGAGGCAGGCTGAGCCCCTCAGCGGGTCGGGGCCCTGGCGACCCCCCTGCAGAGAGAGCAGGCTGGGTCGGGGGTGGCTGACAGATTGGGGGGCAGGGCGGCGACGGTGATGTGACCACATTGTTGAGGGCGTGTGACTCTGCTTGATTTCAGGAGAGAAAGCGGGGGGGGGTCCCCAGCAGCACCTGGAACCCCAGACAGCAACATCGCAGACGGAAGTCCCTCCTCCACAGTAACTGCTTTACATGGAAATTTCAGCCAACTCCCCCATCAGACAGAGATGGCCGAAGGGGGTGAACACATGAGCCGCCGCACGATGCCTGCGAGAGACTCACTCTGCGTCCAAATGCGCACAGAGGTGAGAGGTGGGGCGACAGGCCCCTGCTGGTTCGGACAGAGCACCGGCCTGTGGACTGAAGGGTCCCGGGTCCGATTCCAACTCAATCCCTGGCCCTGGTCTGGGCGCGTGCAGGAGGCAACCAATGGATGCATGTCTCTCCCCGTCTTCCCTCCCACTCCCGCTGAAAGTCGGCGGAAAATGGGCGAGGATGAACAGGCACATGGAAGCCAACGCCGCAGCCCGTTCCCTTTCGAGTGCTTTAAAAATGTCCATTTCAGCGCGGTCGTCTCACTGTAAGTCGTGCGAGGCCAGATGTGTATGCGCAAATGGAATGTTAAATTCGCCTCCCTCCAAAGCAGACACGACGAAAGGCAACGATGTTCTAAACCCCAGGACCGAGCCCCTCACACCAGGCACAGGCCCCAGGCCCACTGTCAGCCAAGGTGCAGGTTTCATGCAACTGTTCCCAGCTGAGGGCTCAGCGCCCGACACAGACAAACAGGAAGAAGCTGTGGTTTCTATCGATTTTAAAAGACTCTGGACCCTGCTCTCATGCTTTGGTGAGGAACCTCTGGGAGCCAGCTTCCTGGGGGCCGGCCGGCGAGGGGGGGGTATGGGGGACACTTTTGGGGGTGAGGGCTGCACCCACTCTCCTGGGGGGATGGTTTCACTCACCGTGAACACGTCAAAACGCCAACCTGCACACTTTTCTTTGGCCACTTGATAGAAAGATTTATTAGAACAAATTCCATGAGGAATCATATAAAAGAACCGTTTTCTGAAAGACGCTCACAGACCACCTGAGCGCAGACACGGAGGAGCCTCCGCGAAGCCAGACAAGGAAGTTACTGACCCCAGGTCGGGGCTGGAGCGGGACACACACAAGTCTATGAATAAAGAAAGTGTATGGCGCCCTGTCTGGTGTGGCTCAGTGGATAGAGCGTTGACCTGCGGACTCAAGGGTCGCGGGTTGGATTCCAGTCAAGGGCACGTGGCCGGGTTGCAGGCTCCATCCCCAGTGGGGAGTGTGCAGGAGGCAGCCAATCAATGATTCCCTTTCATCATTGATGTTTCCATCTCTCTCTCCCTCTCCCTTCCTCTCTGAAATCAAGAAAAAAATATTAAAAAAAAAAGTATGGGGATCCCGGGGTGGGTGGCGTGGAGAGGGCGTCATGGCCGGAGGAGCTGTGGCCACTGCGTGTGTCATGTTCCTGGCGACAGAATCCTGAGAAAAGGAACCTGCTCCCGGGGCTTGCCCACCGCAGAGCAGGCCCTGCACAGGCAGAGGTGCCGGCTGGTGGGAGCAGGGCGGGTGTGCGTGTGCACCTGCGAGGCGGCCGGCACTTAACTCCACACTTTAAACCTACTGGTTACTCCTCAATAAAGCTGTTACAACACCGTCCCCCAACTAAAAACAAATCAACACAGCGGGGCAAAGGGTGATAGGACACATGTAATACCTTAATCGATAAAGAAAAAAAATTATATAAAAAAAGAAAAAGGCTCTAATTGGCTTGGCTCAGTGGATAGAGCGTTGGTCTGCGGACTCAAGGGTCCCAGGTTCGATTCCGGCCAAAGGCACAGGCCCGGGTTGCAGGCTCGATCCCCAGTAGGGGGCGTGCAGGAGGCAGCTGATTGATGTTTCTCTCTCATTGATGTTTCTAACTCTATCCCTCTCCCTTCCTCTCCGTAAAAAAATCAACAAAATATGTTTTTTTAAAAAGAAAAAGAATTCATTACCATGGCCTCTCACCAGCATCGCGGCCCCGGGGATGGGGAGCATAAGGCATTTTGGGGGGCTGGCAATCTGAATGTGTCCCAGAAACCTGCTCGCTACTGCGCAATCTTGCGAGCTGATAATTAACTCCATTTGTGATAAAAAACAGGAGGCTAGCGCCTGACCTTGTACTTAGCGTCCCAAGTGCACATTCCGGGTCAGGGCTCCCTCCTTCCCCATCTGGTCTCGCAAGAGCCTGTTTACCGAAATGCGCCCAATCCGCGGGGCCCTGAACCCGGGATGTTACAGCTCAGCTCAGCGGTTCTCAACCTGTGGGCCGCGACCCCTTTGGGGGTCGGACGACCCTTTCACAGGGGTCACCTAAGACCATCGGAAAACACCTATATAATTACATATTGTTTTTGTGATCAATCATTATGCTTTCATTACGTTCAATTTGTAACAATGAAATTACATCCTGCATATCAGATATTTACATGACGATTCATAACAGTAGCAACAGGACAGTGATGAAGTAGCAACGAAAATAATTTTATGGTTGGGTCTCCCCAACATGAGGAATGGTAGGAAAGGTCCGTGGCATTTGGAAGATTGAGAACCACTGGCTTAACTGGAGGGAGGTCAGGGAGCCCTCCATGATGGAATTAGGTACAATCTAAGCTACCCATCTGACTTTGGGGGGGGGGGGAGTAGAGTCCCTACAGAAGCTGGGGGGGGGAGTAGAGTCCCTACAGAAGCTGGGGGGTGTGGAGTAGAGCCCCTGCAAGAAGCTGGGCCGTTAGGGAACAGAGGCTCAGGAATACATGAGGAGAACCATCTCACTGTCCCAAGGGGCTCAGGATCTGGATCTTAGGGTCCCTGGACAGGCAGCTCTTTGAATGAAGCTTTTCCTGAAACCTCAGAGTCCAACTGTCTCTTCCGCGCCAATTCCATCAATTCCGTATCCACAGCGCGGTGGGAGGACGGGGGATGGCCGTGCCCGCCCAGCCCCCGGGGTCACCATCCGGTCACCACACCGCCCGGGGCAGGGGCCGCGGGGCCTGCGCTGTCCCCGCGCTCGGCTCAGCCACGGATGCCCTGCGGGGGCCTGGGGTGCGGGTGCAGCTCGCCCTCCGGACTCTGGAACTCAGACTCCGTTCTGCCCTCGCCTGGCCCCCTCCCGGCCGGCGGGGTCTCCCCTCCCCCGAGCCCCCGGTGCACCCACCGGTGTCCCGAGGAGCAGCAGCGGGGGGGGCGGCGGCGGCAGCGGCAGCAGGAGCAGCAGCAGCAGCAGCAGCGGCGGCGACAGAACAGAGGACATCCCGGCGTTGGCGCTTCTCGGGGTCCAGGGGGCGGGCAGGACGGTAAGACGGGAGGCAGCTGCGAGCAGCCCGCTTTATGGCCGGTCAGCCGGGCGGGGCGCCTCCAACCCCCGCCTCCCGGTCCGCCCCCGTCCGGCCTCTTACAGCCACCAGCGCCTCCGCACCTCGCCGCTGGCCCGCCCTCCCGGCCCGGTGCCGGCTGGATGGTGAGTGAGGCCAGTCCGCACCCCTTTTGTAGCCGCCAAGCCTCCCGCCCCTGCGAGGAGTCACCAAGCCCCACTGCCCCCTCCCCGTTCCTCCCCGCGTGTCCGGCTGCGGGAGCGGCAGGTGCGCCCTCGGGGGCTGCCGGGCTCTCCCAGGACCAGCGCCCCGGCTCCCAGCCCAGATTTCTCACTTGTACTTTCCAGGGGGGGGTGGGGGGCCACACCCTCTGTCCTGCCTCCTGGCCCTCGCCTCACAGGTGGGCCTGCGGCTCAGTGCCCCCTCCTGCCCCGGCCCCGCCATCCTCAGGGCCCGGCCCCTCCCCGGCCCCTCCAGCCCCAGACAGCGCCCGGCTGGCACGGAGTCCGCCCCCAGGAGAGCCCTCGTTCCCAGAACCCCCCAAGAAGACACCAGGCAATGTGTGTGTTCCTTTATTTCAAGGAACGGAGCACAGACGTGTCCCCGAATGGGGGTGGGGGGGTGGGGGGACAACAAGAACATGGATACAAAGTCTGGCCATCAGCTCAGAGGGCGCAGCCACCAAGTTTAAGGCTCCGTGTGTACCCACCGTGCAGGTGCTCACACACGCACACTCCCACAGGCACACGCACACGCACACACACGGGGCATGGGCGCAGGAACAGGGGCCGGGTGCTGCCTAAAATATTGCAATCGTGTCTATTTAAAAAGTGTGGAGCCCTGGCCGGTGCGGCTCAGTGGACGGAGCATCGGCCCCCGGGCTGAAGGGTCCTGGGTTCGATTCTGGTCAAGGGCTGCAGGCTCTGCTGCAGGCTCCGTCCCCAGCCCTGGTCGGGGTGCGTGCGGGAGGCGACCAGTCCATGTGGCTCTCTCACATCCATGTTTCTCTCTCTGTCTCCCCCCTCACCACTCTCGCTAAAAATCAATGGAAAAATGTGTGAGGATTAACAACAAAAAGCTCAGAGTGGGAGAGCACGCATCAGCCGAGCCCAATAGCCCCCGTGTCCCCGTGTCCCCGGGTCCCCGTGTGGGCAGCTGAGCCGCACCGCGGTCACGTGTCCCCGCCGCCTGCAGGACCGGCTGCCCCTGCACTTCTCACGGAGCATGTGTCCAAACAGCACACGGGCAGCGTGAACCCCACGAGCCGAGTCAGGGGGCCCCAGGGTCCCGGCCGAGGCCGCTCCAGGCGACAGGGGCAGGGTCTCAGGAGCGACAGCCTGTGCCTCAGGCCCGAGGAGGCCCTGGGGGTCCCGGCTGGCTCCTCCCCCTGCAGCCCCGCTGGGGAGGGACTGTCTGACCCTGGCAGGTCCTCCTACCCCCCCACGCCAGCCCCCCGGCAAGTGGACGCTGCGCCGGAGTGAGAGGCGGTGACCGGAGCGGGCACCAGGCAGTGGCATGTGGCCGGAGCATCCAGGCCGGCGCCGGGCAGGGCCCTGCCCAGAGGCCAGCCCCTCCCCGGGGGCGCCGGTGGCCGCCAGGTCCCTCCTGCTGTCCTCCTGCTGCCGGACCCC